ATATAATGTGTGATGTATGAGTGAAGTTTGAACTTAATCGGTCCATGCATGTTCGAGATACAGGTGATCACGGACGCACGCACGGACGCACGCAGGGCAAAACATAAGTCCCCGTTTTCGGACTACGTCCGAACGGGGACTAATTAGGTATCTTTTAGGTGATTGGAAGGTATCGAGGGAGTCACTAGTGGTAATTAGTGCAAGTCGCGCCCAGGTCAAACCTCATACTTGTGATTTCCATTAGAAGAGCGCATTGGATTGTGGGAAAATCAATGTTTATCAACATGGTATGTTTTATTATTTGTATCGTTTATTCTTGTGTGCAGTGCCATCATTGACGGTGTAAGATGGGTAGAAGACAATCACTTGACAAAGAAGACTAAAAGCACAAATGCTAAGGGGTCAGTAGCCAAGTAAGTAAACTCCCTAGTTTCGTTGGATATTGTTAATATATATTTCTATGTTTTCTGGGCTAATATAATTGTGGTTAAATAAATGTCCTTTTCAAATGTGGGTTTTATAATAGCAGCTTCTAAGTATGACACTACAACCTTTAATAAGGATTGCCATATCGCAAAAGAATTGTTTCAAAATGTGGGTTTGTATTATAAAACGTGATTGTTTTTATGCGAGTACCAGTAGTAGGGAATTTGACAGTGAAATGACATAGTGTCATGCTAGTATGATGGCTGACAATTAAATGACATATGTTGAAACATTTAAATGTTAAAAACTGATATATAAATGATCCTATTACAGCATGTCATTAGGAGGAGGGTTTTCTGTTGCCATGAATCGTGCAGTAGAAAGTGCTATTAGCAGTGTAAGTACCTTGCCTGTATTCTGGGTGGGGGAGGAGGGGGGAAAAACTGTGCAGGAGAGCTGTACTCCACAGCCATCTAATAATTGAAGATTTTGTAAAGCAAACCTGAGGGAAGTAATCATGCAAAAATAAATGTGTAGGTATTATGTATTAGAAAATAATATTAACAATTTAGAAAAAGTTGCACCAAAACTGTGTGTGTAGAAAAAAGACGTTGCTTGGCGTCCATTTTGAATTTATAAAAAAGTCATTAGCGATATCTTGAGTCAGCGAATCAGTTCTCTCA